TGTTCTTTTTAGAAAGGGAGAGAGCAGTGAGGGGTCAGAGGGAAAGGGAGAAAGAATCCCAAGCAGGCTCCATGCCCAGCAAGAGCCTGATGTGGGACTTGTTCTCATAACGTTGAGATCATGACCTAAACCTAAATCAAGTTAGACACCCAACTGACTGAGCTACCTAGGTGCCACCCATTGATCTTATTTTCAAATTTAATGCTCAAATAGTACAGATTTGGTCATTTCAAACCCCCTCAGTTAGGCTTCTATGAACTTTTACCATCTTCTTTGAACGTTTCTTTACTTGCTGGCACAGTGAGGTATTCCAGAATCGTCTTTTATTTTATCTGCTCCACCACTGGAATCAGTCATTTCTCTAAAGCATTCTGGTTTCTTTTTGTGGAGAAAGGTGTGTAGCACCTAAGATCTGGACACTTACGTATAATTATTTTGCTACTGGAGTGCCATTGCGTCTAGGCTCAATGGGGCTAAGAAATCTCTTTCTATCTCTAATCTATGAGTTCATATTGATACTTCAAAATCTAATCTAGCACCAGAAGGTTCATTTTAATTTTTCTTCTATTTGTAAATCCTTTTGGCAAGGGAGAAACTTGGCTCACATTATCCTTGGCATATCCATTTTTTCCCAGTCTTAGATTCACAGAAAGCAGTCTCAGGATTGTTAACCCTACTGCTATAAAAAAAACATGTGCACTAACCAGTGTTTAGTACTTGTTAAAAATTTTTGTCTTTAGACTGAGGGTATAGAGTCAAAATTCTGTATTAAAAAGTAATTATTGGGACATCTGGGTGGTTCAGCAGTTAAGAGTCTGCCTTTGGCTCAGGGCATGATCCTAGAGTCCTGGGATGGAGTCCCACATCGGGCTCCCTGCATGGAGCCTGCTTCTCCCTTTGTCTATATCTCTGCCTCTCTCTCTCTCTGTCTGTCATGAATAAATAAAATCTTTAAAAAGAAAATGAAAAAGTAATTATTTTTCCCTTCAGTGTGATTGTTATTCATTAGAAATATAGTTGGGCTCATATGTTTCTGTTTATATTCCATTTTATATTTTTTTGGAATATTGGAATATTTTCCATTTCTTTCGAATGGAATATTTTTATATTCCATTTTATATTTCTTTCTCTTCCATCATTATTAATTTAACTTCATCATCATCATCATCATCATCATCATCATCATCATCCCTGTCATCATCTTGTGTATGTAAAACATTAACAAAACCCCAAAATTACACAAAAAGCTATATTCAGCGGAGTGTTACTTCCCCTTCTTCACCCCTATCCACCTTGTTAATGCACCCTCATTATAATGTTTCAGGTTCAGGCTTCTTGAGTTTCTTTTCGTAAATATAAATAAATAATTATCTTATTAAAGCATCAGCCTGGAGGATAGGCATCTAATTTAACACATCTGGTAGACTGCTGGAACATTCTCTGGGGATGGAGACTGGCTGGTGCCATCTTTATGCTCTCTCTTTGCCGTGCTCTAGAGCACCAGCATTTCCTGGATAGGAGCCTTTGTGTGTTTGGTGCCCTGTTTTTTTGCAGCTGCTACCCAGAGGACACCCCTTGATTGTCTGGCTTTAGTAGCTCGGGGTGGGGTAGGGGCTTGCATTGCTGGGTCTCAGGAGACTATGGCTATCAGAGAGAGAGAGAGTTCTTGGCAGGGTGCCACCTCCAGGGCATTGCACAGATAGCAGACTGAAGCACACCCCAGTCCTGTGAAACAGGCCTTTTTGCCTGTCCAGGAGCTTTGTTCTGATGAGTGGGCTTCAGGTTTGGCATACATCTAATAAAGCTGCTTTCAAGGAACATAGGTTGTGGATACCATCTTGGTGCTCTCCCTCTGCCTTGCTCCAGCTAGTCAGTATCTCCCAGAAAAGAGCTTATTATCTCTTCTCTCTTACACAGAAGTAGGATACTATATATGGTTTATTGCACTTTGCTTATTTTGACTGACTGCAAATACGTCCTGGAAATCACTCCTTATCACACCTTCTTTAGTTTTTATTTACAGCTGTAGAATATACCATCATGGGAACGTACCATAGTTTATGCAACCAGTCTTCTGTGTATCTTTTATCATAATATTTTTTTTCAATAACAAATAGTGATATTCCTTGTTCATATGTATTTTTGTATTCTTGAAGGTGTACCTTCAAGGTAAATTCTTAGATATGTGTGAAAAGGTAACCTCACTTGTGATTTTGTTAGATATTGTCAAATTCTCCTCACATAGAGGTGGGGGACATTCCCACCATCAGTGTCTAAGAGTGTCTCTTTCCTTACAGTCCTGTCAGGAGAATGTGCTGTCAAGCTTTGTATTTTTACCAAATTTAATAATTGAGAAATGGTAACTCATCATAGTTATAAATTATGCTATATGTAGAGTTTACATATGCTTTATATAAATAGCATAAATAGTATATATAGTTATAAATTCTATTATGAAGAGAATCTTATTATAATTTCTCTTATGAAGTTCATCTTTTCATATGTTAAAAAGGTCATTTAAAAACATTTGTGAATTGTCTCTTTGTGATGTTCATTTATTTTTCTATTGGGTTTTTAAAAATCTTAACCCTCTTATTTAGAGTTCCTTATGTATTAGGGGTAGATGTTAGCCCTTCATCTGTGATGTCTGGTAATCATGGCTGTCTTAAAATTTCTGTGAGTCTCTGAGTCTCTTTATTGTCTTTTTTTAAAAAATGATTTTGGGTTTTGGTCATTTGTTGCTCTTTCCTGGTAGGCCTGGTTGGTTTCGACCGGATGCCAGACGTTGTTTATGAGAAGTTGTAGAGGCTATAGGTGGTATTATTTTCCTCTAGAGATGATTTAGTTTCCTTCTGCTGACAGATGATGTTTGGGTAGACAAGCTTGATTGAAACTGATCAATTTAAGGCTTGTCCTCACTGTAACGGGGTAGCCCTTCTCGGGTTGAAACTGAAAATCTGGGGTCTTTACCCTTGTCCTCAGCAGCCCTGAAAGCTGATTCATGCATCCTCAGCACAATGAGACTCGTATTTTCTCCTTAGGTTTTTAGTCTGTTTGTCTCATCAGAGCACAAGCAGTGTTGGAGGCAGCAGGTGCCCCAGGGGGAACCTTCTCTACAGTTCACCTTTCTCCAGGATGTCGGCCTATCACTTTTTGTCCCCTCTTCCAACACGGCAAGACTACCATGAGCTGTAGGTTGATGCCATCTCTCCGACTTTATTCCCTGCCCACCTGGCAAGCTGGCAAACCCACCGATGAGGAACAGCAGTAGCAAGGGCAGGGCTCACTTGTGTGTTCCCCTGTCCCCAGGGTTGCAGCCTGTGAAGTTCTGCTGCCTTGATTATTTGCTCTTAGCTGCCAACAGTTCTTTTTTTTTTTTTTTTAAGATTTATTTATTTATGATAGAGAGAGACAGAGACAGAGACACAGGAGGAAGGAGAAGCAGGCTCCATGCCAGGAACCCGACACGGGACTCGATCCCAGGACCCCAGGACTGCGCCCTGAGCCAAAGGCAGGCGCCAAACCGCTGAGCCACCCAGGGATCCCTCCAACAGTTCTTCTATTACATGTCATCTCGCTTTTATAGCGATTCTCAAACCACTTTCGGTGTATTCTGATCCTAGTTCTTCTATCATCGCTGGTGGCATGAGTCATCTCTCTACTTAGCACATTTCATTGAATTTGTATGGAAATGAGAGAAATGACACTGTCAAATTCACAAAGCATTTTAAAATTGACAAGGAAATTGACCTGCTCATACACCGCTGGGGAGGGTCTAAGTTGGCACCACCTTTCCGGAGGGAATTGATTTATATCAAAATCTTTAATAATTTATTTGCCCTTGGACTCAGCAATTCTGCTGCTAGGTGTTTACCCTAAGAAAATTATCGTGGTTGTGTGGGGAGTAGATTTATTTACAAAGATTCTACTCTCAGTCAATAAAATTGGAAGCAGAGTCCTAAGTGTGCAACAATAGGAGATTTGATAAATTGTAGTGTTTCAGTACAATGGAATATTATGGAATTCAACATTACAAATGATGTAGAAGAATATGTACACATAATAATGATCTACTGTTGGGCACAAGAGATGATGACGTGGCATGTGCAGTATGGGCCAGTTTAAGAATGCATATACAGATAGATACATAAATATCAGACTGGAATAATGCATATAGCTGCTGTTGTTGGGTTGTTGGCTATTCCCCCACTTTGTTATGCATATTTAAATTTTTTCCCCATTTTTGGAAAGTTACTTTCATTCCAAGAGAAAGAACACACTTTCAAAAAGCCTTGATATTGGTAGGCTCAGTTGATAATATCTTCTGGCAAACATTTTATTTTATACTGGTTGCCTGAGTTCTATCTTTATGCCCTGAGTGGTGTTATAGATTTCATTATAAATGTACCCACCCTGGGGCGCCTGGGTGGCAAAGTCAGTTAAGTGTCTGACCCTCAGTTTCAGCTCAGGTTGAGATCTCAGGGTTGTGAGATCGAGCCCTGCCTCAGGCTTCATGCTTAGCATGGAATCAGTTTAAGATTTTCTCTCCCTCTGACCCTACCCACCCTCTCAAGTAAAGTAAATAAATCTTAAAAAACAAAAAAGAAAGAAAGAAAGAAAGAAAGAAGGAAGAAAGGAAGGAAGGAAGAAAGAAGAAAGAAACGTACTCGCCTTGAAAATACTTTGTGGAACAGAAGACCTCCATACAAATATACTTTAAATTTCCACTAGTCAAATTCAAAAGAGGCCTCATTTGTTTCTGTCAATGTCTGAAAAAGCCTTTTTAGTAAGGAGTCCTTTAAAAAAGTAAATAGATTTATGACAAGCACTTGGATTATCAGGGATGATTTATTTTCTAGGGAAAAAAATCGAATTTCCTTTTGAAACCAATTGCCAAAATTTAATGAAATTGCTTTTTTTTTTTTTTGAAATTGCTTTTGTAAACCTGCAGTCAGGATTTCTGCACATTAGCCTTATCCTTTGTTGCTTTCTTCTTAAAGGTCTGCTCCAAGACAGCAATCACCAACTATGACCTGCTGGGTCTCGAGGTTGCTTCCTAGGAATGTCCGTTCCTTGGGGACATCACCAAAGAACCAGAGAGTTGTGGATTGTCATCAACACCATGAGGACTATGGGTACTTCTTACCCATCCAGACGAGGTGGCAGGACAATGACCAGTATGGCCATGTGAACAATGCTGTGTATTACAGCTACTTCGACACTATTATCAACCACTACTTAATCAGGTAGGCTTGGCTTCTGAGCCCCATTTCCTCATGTCATTCCTCCAGCATGCCCTTAGTTGGGAGTACATGCAGGACATTATGGGAAGAGATTCCTTCCAGTTTCTTCTGCTAGTGCACTCTTTTGTTGAGCTGAGAGTCAGGTTATTCAAGAGGAGAACAGGTGGACTGACACGTGAGTGAGAAAGTGTCGCCCTGCTGTTCCTGCAGTCTCAGGTGTTCGTATATCTTGGTCCTTTGCACTAAATTGTCAGCAAATGTGCAGGCTTTGAATATCAAATGAGCGTCTGTACAAAAAAACCACATCTATTTAAACTTGAGCAGAAAATAACATCAGCCCTCGGGCCTTTTTGTGAGAAAAGCAGCTGCTTCCCCCAACATCAGGGAGAAGGAGAGAATAAGAATATAAAGATGTTGTCATAGCCTCTGAATGCAGTGTTGGCATGATTGCCTTCTGATGTATGTTTACAAGATGGTTAGTATGTATTTGGTTAATATAATTCTCTATATGAAAGATAGTGCTGTGAAAAAAAAAAGGACTGCGTCATATATAGATCTAAGTAAATCCTACCTCCACTCTGCATTAGCTGTGCAATTTTGATAGACTTATAATTCTTTTAAAAGATTTTGTTTATTTAGTCATGAGAGACACAGAGAGAAAGAGGCAGTGACATAGGCAGAGGGAGAAGCAGGCTCCTCGCAGGGAGCCCAATGATGGGACTCGATCCTGGACACCGGGATCACGTCCTGAGCCAAAGGCAGACACTGAGCCACCCCGGTGTCCCTTGATCAACTTACATAACCATATTGAGTTTTCTATAAAAATAACTCACATCTGTTGAAAGTTTCTCTGTGTCTAGCACTGGGATGCATTTTATACAGACTTTTAAAGATTGGGATATAATTGACATATACCATTATGCTAGTTTCAGGCGTACAACATAATGATTTGATATTTGTACACACTATGACAACCACAATAAATCCAGTTACTATTCATCACCACACAAAGCTACAAAACCTTGTTTCTTTTCTCGTGATGAAAAATGTTAAGATTTACTCTTCTAGCAACTTTCAAACATGCAGAGCAATACTATTGACTATATTCACCCTGCTGTACATTACATCCCCATGACTTACTTCTTTTATGACTGGAAGCTTGTACCTCTTGACTCCCATTTCATTCACCCTCCAGCCCCTCTCCCCTGCGGCACCACTATTCTGTTCTCTGTATCTATAAGTCTCATTTATTTAGATTCCACATATAAATTAGTTCATAGGGTATTTGTCTTTCACTGACTTAATTTCACTCATCATAATACCCTCAAGGTCCATCCTTATAGTTGCAGATGGCTGAGTAATATTCCAGTGTGTGTGTGTGAGTGAGTGAGTGTGTGTGTGTGTGTGTGTGTGTGTGTGTGGACATACTTCATCTTCTTATCCATTCATCCATCAGTGTATACTTATGTTGTTTCCATGTCCTGGTTATCGTAAATAATACTGCAGTGAACAAAGGGATGCATATATCCTTTCAAATTAATGTTTTCACTTACTTCGGATAAATGCCCAGAGGTAGAATTGCTGGATCATATGGTATTTCTATTTTTAATTTTTTGAGGAACTTCCGTACTGTTTTCTGTGGTGGCTACACCAATTTTAAATCCCCACCAACAGTGCACAGGGTTCCCTTTTTTCCACACCCTTGCCAAAAATTGTTGTTCTTTGTCTTTTTGAAATACTCATTCTAACAGGTATGAGGTGATATCTCATTGTTGTTGTGGTTTGCATTTTTCCCTGATGTTGAGTGATATTGACCATCGTTTCATGTGTCGGCCACCTGTGTGTTTTTTTTTTTGAAAAGTGTCTATTCAGATCCTCTCTACCAATTTTTTAATCGAATCATTTGCTTTTTTGCTATTGATTTGTATGAGTTTTCAATATATTTTGATGTTAACCCCTTATCAGATATAGGATTTGCAAATATTTTGTCCCTTTGGGAATATTGCCTTTTAATTTTGTTGATGATTTCTTGTGCTGTGCAGAATCCTTTTAGTTTGATGTAGTCCCACTTGTTTATTTTTGTTTTTGTTGCCTTTGTTTTTGGAGTCAGATCCAAAATATCACCAAGAGTGATGTCATGGAGTTTACCACCTATATTTTCTTCTAGGAGTTTTATGGTTTCAGGTCTTATGTTAAAATCCAATTCATTTTGAGTTAAATCTTGTGTATGGCATAAGATAGTGGTCTAGTTTCATCTTTTTGCTGTGGCTGTCCAGTTTTCCCAAAACCATTTATTAAGGAGACTGTTCTTTTTTCACTGTATATTGTTGCCTCCTTTATTTTAAATTAATTGACAAAATATGCATGGGTTTATTTTTGGACTGTGTATTCTATTCCATTGATCTATGTGTCTGTTTTTATACCACATCCAGACTTTTTATCACTATAGCTTTGTCATATAGTTTGAAATCAGGGAGCATGACATATCCAGCTTTGCTATTCTTTCTCAAGATTGCTTTAGCTATATGGGGTCTTTTGTGGTTCCATACAAATGTTAGGATTGTTTGTTCTCTATCTCTGTGAAAAATGCCACTGGGATCTTGATAGGGATTGCATTGAAGCAATCTTATTCAGTCAGTGGCTGATGGGAGTTAATATATAAATACCCCAGCTTCCTCACCTCTTGGTGAGGTAACTGTGACCCAACCCACTTTACACAGGATCTTGGCTTCTCTAGTGGGATTAAGCTCCAGTTCCTCAATTGGTAGCTTTTTTAAATTGAATTAAAATTTATATAACATGAAATCTATTATTTTAACCATTTCAAAGTGTACAAATTCAGTGGTTTTAGTGTATTCACTCAGTTGTACAACCATCACCACTATCTGATTCCAGAACATTTCCATCACCCCAAAAAAGGAACCTCATACCTGTTAGTCACTCAGTTCCCCTCTCCTCCCTTCCTTTGGAACCTATGAATCTACTTTCTATCTCTGTAGATTTTCCAGTTCTGGACACATCATTGTCCAGGATTGGCAAATGGAATCATACGGTATGTGGTCTTTTTTGTCTGTCTTCTTTCATTTAGCAAGATGTCTTCAAAGTTGATCCATATTATAACCTCTATTATACTTCATTCTTTTCTGTGGCTGGATAATGCTCAATTGTATGGCTATGCCACATTTTGTTTATTCATTCATTAGTTGATGGACATTTGGGTTGTTTCTACTTTTTGGCTTTTAAGAATAACACGGCTATGGATATTTGTGCACACGTTTTTAAAAGGACATGTTTTCAATTCTTTTGGGTATATACCTAGAATGGAATTGCTGGGTCATATGGTAACTCTATGTTTAACTTACTGAGGAACTATCAAACTGATTTCCACAGTAGCTGTGCCATTTATATTCCCACCAGCAATGTATGAGCGTTTCATTTTCTCCACATTCTTGTCAACACTAGTGACTATCTAGCTTTTTGATTCTAGCCATCCTGGTGTGTGGGAAGTGGTTATCTCATTTTGGTTGATAGATTATTTCCCTAATGACTACTGATGTTGAGCATCTTTTAATGTGCATTCTGGCCTTTGGGTATATCTTCTTTGGAGAAATATCTGTTCAGATCCCTTTTCTATGTTTTAATTGGATTATTTCTATTTTTACTGTTGAGTTTTAAGAGTTCTTCAAATAATCTGGCTATTAGACCCTTATCGTATATGTAATTTACAAATGCTTTCTCCTGTGGGTTTTTTCACTCTCACCAGTGTCCTTTGCTTTTAAAAACACACACACACACACACACAACACTCAGGGGGCTTGTTTTACTTAGAGTGGAAAATTATGCCAAGGACAAAATCAACACAAAGGAACAAATGACAAAAAGTAGCAGGGAAGAGACTCAGTTAAGTGCAGCTCCATGAGTCCAGCAGTTCTTTAGGTCATGGTTACATGTGGCCCACTGTAGGTGTCCATCTGTCCAATCTGTCTGTCCTCCCTAGATGGCAGAGTGGTACCTTTTCAAGTAGCAAACGCTTTATTGGTTACTTTCCCTTCCTCACTTCTACAGGAACACTTAATCTACAAATAGTACTTTATAGTTCTTGCTCACGTTGCAGATTTGCTGTTAGTGAATTGAAATTTTTCTTCTTTCAAGAAGTTATGTACAGAACAGCTTTCACTTTGAGTGTTCCTTGTTCTCTCTTGGGTACTATGTGGTCCTGAATCTTCAAACTAATTTTACTTTGTGTGCACCTGTCAGTAATTCTTCTAGAAATAGCTTACACTTGCTTATCTAGGAATAATAAACTGTTTTTTTTCAGCACTCATTGTAGCTTTTAGGAGAACGTGTGCTTTATAGTTTGAAAACCACAGCAGGTGGTAAAAACAGTATTTGTGGCTGTTTATAATTCCATGTCATTTGTCCCATAGGAATTTGACAGTGAATTTTCCAACTTAGGACTATTCACTCTTTTAAAGGAAGGGTCAGCCTTGTTACTTCTTTGGGTTGACTCTTGATCTCAGTGTAGTTGAGACCTAGTGGAGTGTCTAAGTCAGCCCGGGCTGCTGTAATATTATACCACAGACTAGGTGGTTTAAACAACAGATATTTATTTCTCACAGTTGCAGGGCTGAGAAGTCCACATCAGGGTGTCAGCATGATTGAGTTCTGGTGAGGACCCTCTTCCTGGTTTGTGGACAGCTGCCTTCTTAGTGTGTCTTCACTTGGCTACAAGAGGAAACTCAAGTCTCTTTCTCTTATGAGGACATTAATCTCATCATGGGGCTCCACCCTCGTGACCTCATCTAAACCTAATCTAATTGGGAGTTATTATTTCAAAATACGAATTTGGGGGGATATAGTCATATAGTCCATAACATCTCGTATATGTGGCTTTTGAATATCTCTCTTATTTATGAATCTGGGATGTTGATTTACAGACAATGATGACGGAGTCCTTTATCCATTGAGGATTGTGTCTGTGTGGTCCTAATTTGTTTCAAACT